CACTAAAAGCAATTTAATTGTGAGACACCTAAGTAAATGCTTTTATAAGCCATCAAACCGAGCCAACCAAGCAAATTGGTAAGTAAATGTTGTACACTTAAAATGGGGTAAAAGCTTTTCCACGTTACCAGTCGAAGTATCTACTCTATCTACTGTATCTGAAGGTGTTTGAATGTATGAGGCGCCTAACTGAATGGCTTAAAATCAGTTCAACAGTTAATAGTAAAAGTTTTGCTACAAAAACAAAAAACACACTAAATGTAAAAAGTAAAAATGCGAGTAAACGTGCAAGGTTTATTGAAATTCCTTAATTTCTATAGACATTTTGTGTCACCAATGAGGTGATAAATGCCATAAAAGTGGCATTTAAATTAATGTAGTTTCTTCTATTGCATTTTTGTTTACTTAAAAGAAAAACAGAGTGTAACATGCACAATAAAATTCAACGAATATGTGCATGCATGAATGGACTAATATACATAGTTCTTCCAATGTACGATAGACGATATTCAAAAGGAGTAAATAAAATATAATTTTAACCTAACACCATAGATACGAACGAAACACATATGTTGACTGGTAAAGCCAATTTCACAACAGTGTAACCCCTTCTAAATGATACTCGGGCTATAAGATTCTTTTAAATTTCCACATAACTTTTATGAGGGGTGAGATAGTCATATCATTGAAAACCAATATTTATATCTAAATAAAACTTATTCATATAAAAAAGATATATGGAAGAAGTATGGAAAAAATATGTAAAAAATAAAATAGAAATAGAGTAGAAGACTTTTTATTAATTTTTATTATTTTATTGCGATAAATCTAAAAGTCATTTGGTAAACTCTTAAAAACATATTTGCTTTCAGTGTTGTAATTTACACTTGTGTTTTTTATCCTTGACATTAGTTGCATGTTTCATTGAAATTTTTGATTTGTTTGGCCAATTACCAAAAATTGTTTAAAAAAACAAAAAAGAAATTACAATAAAAGTTTAACTTATATTTGTTTTCTTATCAACGCCAAAAATAACTTTTTGGGTTTTTTGGGGTTGTATTTTTTGACACCTTTCGCTAAGTAATTTTAACGCCCACCCTTTCCTTTAAGGGTTTTCGCCTTACTTAATGCTAATGTAACCAATTAGAGTTACAAATGTAATTTTGCGGTAAAGTTTTATTTGATTTTTTTATAGAATGAATTTATAACTTTTAATTTAACCTTCGCAAATAAACCTGGAAGCAATTTCAGATACTTCAAAAATAAAATTTTTCTTACAATAAGGACTTTATATGATTTTTGTATAATAGCGATAGTATTATTATTGTTAGGGGATATGGCTCTGCGACCGTCGGATCTATTGTGCCACCTTCTATGTTTAGAGTAGGTCTTTAAGCCCTATTGCTTCAATAAAAAGTAGTATAAAATCTACTTTACAGAGTTTTATTGCCATTTCCGTAAGAATATACATTCCCAGGAGCATATTCCTGGGAATGTATATATTTATTTTCTAATTATGTGTACTATTTAATTGATAGACTTGATATCAGAATAGTAATCAAGTACTTTAAGAACTTTAGGTGATTAAATAGAAAAATATTATTATCAAAAGGTTATCTTTGTATGTTTATATGAATATATGTAGAATTTTAAAATTAAAACTAAAAATAAACTTGACTCCACGAGCACATATTTTTAGTTAAAACGTTTTGCTCATTTACTTAGTAATATTAATTTTAATTCAAATAAATTTACTTTATTTGCAATGTTAATATTTTAATAATATTAATGATAGTAATAATAGTAAATAAATAAAACAAATTAATATAAATTTAATTTTAATAGTCGTAATAATATAAATAATGAACAAATTTGAGCATTTCTTTCATTTTTTCATTAAAAGAGCATTATTAGCGTTTTTACTTAATTTTTTTATTGAAAAAATATTTTTTAATCTTTAGGAGAAAGAAACTGAAAATATATTAAAATAAAAAATAGCAATTACACTAAAAACACACATTTTTGTTTAAATGTGGATACTATGCAAGACATTGTATGCATCCAGTCTTTAAAATATATACGCAGATTCTCTTTTTGATATTTTACTTCTTTTTTTAAAAATGGGTCAATGACTATAAAACATTTGGTTCAATCGGTATTTAAGTGTGTCTTTGTGCCTTACAGACGATGATGAATCAATCGTTTGCCAACTGACCAATTTATAAAGTAATATAGTATTGTTTAGTTTATGTCGACCTGTCTGAATGGCATAATCCATTAATTCCATTGAGGTCTTCGATGATGAATCGCTTATAAAGTAATACGTTTCTGATTAGTTTATTGTTAAACTGTCTGAATGGCATGATTCATTAATTCCATTGAGATATATGTAAACTAGTAGTAGTTTCAGCTTAATAAATAAATTTTTATACATATTCGAAAATATTTTCAAAACAAACATTATAAATTTTATTGTAGTGGTCTATTCGGAATCGGAACTGATTTTTCTTTAACATTTATAGAGAAACTTAAATTAAATGATATAGATTATACTATTAAAATTGTTTTATAATAACCAAATAATGAACTGATTTTTCTTTAATATTTATAGAGATATATAAATGTAATAATATATTTTATTTTTTAAAAGTCAGTCAATTGGTTTATTTGATATATTGTAACAATAATGCACTAAATTATTATTAATATTTTATAAATCTGCTTTTATAACTAATAAAACTTGATATAATTTATCGCCACCGCATCCATTTTATTTACATTTAGCTATCATATACTAAACTAAAAGTCCAGATAACCTTTTTTTATATGTCAACTAAATGCAAATTAAATATCACAGAGAGGCATACTACTAAAAGATTTTACTATAAATTATTACTATAAAAAAACTGAAAAATATTTTAATGAAAGATTTTAGTATTAAAATCAATATAGTCCATAAAGTAAGGCTATACAATATACATTATATTTGTCCTACTGAAAAGTTAAAGATAGCTGAGTTATTATTTTAAATGTGTTTATTTTTAACAAGAACCGAAATTACTTATAGTCATAGTTTATACTTATATTTCAGTATACCTTCACCTAGGTAGAATAACACAATACTATTTATAAATAGTATTCTTAACAGTAATGTGAGACATCTAAAGAGATTTTATTCCTTTACCATTATTTTTAAATAAAATAAATTAAAATAAAATTTTAATTAAAGATTTGATATCCTATGACTAGAAACCTATCTTCGCATAGAAAGAAAAAATTTTTAAATCTAACAAAATGTTTAATTACGGAAAATCTTGAACTGAGCATACAGTTGTTCCGAAGATTTAATATACCATAGATCATAATACTATAAGATGCTAAAAGTTTCCATTACTATCAAATGAAGTGTTTATTATTTTGATTAAACATTTAATACCATATGACTAGAAATCTTTCTTCGAATAGGGAAGTTGTAGTAATGAAATTGTAAAATCCAAAAAAAGTGTTTAATCGGCTAATTTCTTCAGCTGACTCTACGGTTGTTCCAAAAACTTTATATACCTGGATCATAATAATAGAACGGGTCATTTGCTTTTAAATAAACTGATTATTATTTTGTTTTAACATTTGATATAATATGACGAATGACTCACGGACCTCAAGATTGATCCCATCAAAAAATATATAAAGAATACAGCCCTGAAATTATTTGCGAAAACTGACAGACTTATCAACATCGCGTTATCAAATCTCAGAATGGTTACAGGGTCCTCAAGGAGGTATGCAGATCAGAAGTCAATTATTGCTTAGTCTGATGAAGTTGAAATGATAAACAATAATGCAGTCAAGGCGTAAAGGGGGGTTTTGAATATACTTGGAGTTTAGAAAGAGTAAAAGTGCTCAAGTACACAAGCTCAAAGAGCTTCAACATAATAATGACAAGAAATCTATATTCAAATAGAAAGGAGAGAGGTAGTGAACAAATTTTTCAGTTAAAATCTTGAAATAACTATATAGTCATGACCATTCCAAATATTTTGTATATCATAGTTTATACTATTGGAAACAAAAACTTAATTATTGTTTTTTAAATATGTTAACTAAATTATCTACATTATGGGTACATGAATTATAATTGCATCAAAAATTAATTACTTTGCATTAATGCTTATAATCATTGATAATAAAAATATACATAATTTCTTATGTTTAAAAAACAATATTAATTTTTTATAGATATTAAAAATATTTTATATTTTATATTTTTAAATACAAAAATAGTTAAGAGTTTGTATTAACACTTACAACGTATAGAACTTTTTATACATGAAGTTTGTCCTGTTGAAGGCAGGTGTTTCAGTCTTTTATAGTTCACATTGTATAAATCGTAAGGATATCGGCAAAATTGCGTAAATTCAAATCAAATTAATTGTGCGACAATTAAAAGTTCAAGCAAACAATTTTACTCACATCAATCAAAAGGTAAACATATTGTTTAATCAATAAAATAATTTTTGTTGATAGACATTAGCAATAAATAGGAATCCCTTTTAACATGTTTACACAAGAAGTATTTGCAACAATAGTACTGATAGAAATGTTTTGCTAGAGTAATCATTTTTTTAAATGTTTATAACCACGTTAACAAATATTTATATTGAAGTGTTTTGATGGTGATTTTAGCACTTTAGCACAACTTAACTTGTTTACTTCACAAATTGCATAGAATGACTGGTAAAATGTTGAGTTTATTTACAAGAAATGTTTTGTGAAATACTTTTACAAATATAAAATCAACAATTTTTTTAATAGTGCATATGCGCAAAATAATGCACGTATCCAAGACTGCGTGTAAACGCGGCAATTTCCCTTCACACTTATCGAAAAACAAAAACTTTTTTCCCTAACAAAGCAACAAATTTCAAATGAAAACCCCACTAAGGACGAAGAAAAACCAAAGCTTTTAGGCGCTACACCATAATTACGATAGGAATAAAGACGAGGGTGTTAAATTTAAGGATTCGTGCAAGTTTTCAAGAAACCTTTCATGCTTGATTAGTTTTCTTACTTTGATAATAAGTTCATGGGCTTTTTATTTCTTCTAGGACATCGTTTGACTTGGCAAGCCTATCACCGCTTAGATGATATACACGGTTTCTTCGACTATTTGGCTAAGACTTATCCTGATATTTGCACTGTCGAAACTATTGGTTATTCAATTCAAAAACGTCCATTGAAAATATTGAAGTAAGTCGGAAATATGAAAGTAATATGATATTTTATTAATTTCCTTTTTCAAATAACTTGCAACCTTGCAACAGAATATCGAATGGCAATGCAGGCAATCCTGGTGTTTGGATTGATGGTGGCATGCATGCACGTGAATGGATAAGTCCTGCCGCAGTTACATACATCGCAAATCAAATTGTTGAAGGTTGGGATGATATGCCAGCACATATGAAGAATGTCAATTGGTAAGTTTTGCAATTTCATTATAGCACCAAAATGTGCATGAAAATATTGTAATAAAAACATTTTTCCGGAAAATCATTTTCAATAAATTATATTGATGTTTTGCTTTTTCAGGCACATACATGCTGTTGCTAATCCTGATGGTTATGAATATTCTCACACCACAGATCGTTTGTGGCGTAAGAATATGCGTTCACATGGTCGCAACTGTCCTGGCGTTGATTTAAATCGTAACTTTGGCTATAAATGGGGTGGTAAGGGTACCTCAGCTAATCCATGCTCACAAACATACCGTGGCAGCAAAGCTTTCTCCGAACCAGAAACATTCTATATTTCTAAATATATAAGCAACTTCCCACGTAATACATTCCAAGCTTACTTATCCTTCCACAGTTATGGACAATACATATTGTATCCTTGGGGCTATGATTACCGTGTAACGAACGACAAATCAGATTTAGATCGTGTAGCTAGACAAGCTGGCACTGTAAGTTTTTGTTTATATTCATACGAACTTATATATAGACTTATTTTAACAAAACAGGTTAAATTTTTTTCTAACATAAAATAATAATATTTTATTAAATTCAATTGTTAAAATCAGTTACGATGAGAGAAAACTATTTAACTAATCGGAATGTCTTTGAATAGTAGTGAATAATCACAACATTTTATTTTAATTAATAAAATTAAATTATTAAATTTATTTTTTGGCTGATAATAAAGAGTCTATAACTTTTTAAAATGTTAAGTTGCCGTTAAGGCTTAAGACGCAATGATTTTAACACACATATCAGTATAAAGCGCCCATAAACGCTCCCATTAGAATCTTAATAATTTCCATCGATACCAATTAAAGCTTTACGTTTGGATACAGTCTTCTCTTTGAAAGACAGCAAGACCTATCTAACACGTCTGCTCTTTTTTGGGGCAAAGCACACGGTCAGAAAATGCAACGTGAGGACTGTGATTAAAATCCAACTATTAAATTGGACTATCTATTAGTTAGGATACCGAATCTATAGGCTCTGATTTTTGTGGCAGCAGGTATACATCTCTAATCGCGTGCCGCAAGTGCAACTCACTTTTTACAATTTATACTCCAAACAGTATCGGATGGTGCCTACTGAATTTTAGTCGCCTATTACGACAATCATGTCTTACCTTCGGAGTATTCTTATTCCTTCTCGTTGTGGGTGACTTACTATACAATTGCTTTAAGTACGAAAACCAATTATTATTATTTGAAAGACCATGATGATGAGTATTTGGCAATACTCCTGCCAACTGTATGGTCAGCCAAAATATTAAATGAATTAAAATAAAATTTTGTTGTTGAAATACAGTACTATTCAAAAACTCTATAAATAAAAAATTTTACTTAAAAAATATACTAATAATATTTATACATTCTTCCATGACAGACAATCACAAAGAGCACTGGTTTCAAATACACGGTCGGTTCTTCTGCAACAACATTATACCCAGCTGCTGGTGGCTCGGATGATTGGGCTAAAGGTTTCGCAGGCATTAAGTACGCATACACCATTGAAATGGGTGACACTGGACGTTATGGTTTCGTCTTGCCCGCAAGTTATATTGAACAAAACGGTAAAGATGGTTTCACCTTCGTCGAAACTGTGGCACGCGCTGTGACAAAAACAAAGGACAGTCGACGACGTAAAATACGTAGACGTAGTTAAATTAGTTACATAAAAAATTTTAATTAATTTAATTTATTTATTTATTATTTAATTTAATTATTTAAATGGTTTTGTCTGTTTTGTGTGTTGAGCACACAAAGTGTGCCTTTTTTGAGTTATAACAAAAAAAGAAACTTTTAATAGTTTATTTATTAAAATATTATTTATTTATTTATTTATTTGAATGTTTATTTAGTTAACTTATGTATTTAAATTAATATATTTAAATTATTTATTTATTTTATCGTATTAGTTCAATTACTTAAGCATAATGTGAAAAATTTAAATAGACTAAGTTTATTTAAAAAATTCTCATCAAAATAAAAGAAATTTGTTTGAAAAATCTTAAAAACTATTTTAGTCTTTACTTTCACATACTTTTATACTTCTTTGCATGTCCACATACGTAGTGATTTAGGAAAAATTTAGTTTCTTTGTAAATCTTCATATAAAATCAACAAGACTCAACACAATTGACTTGACATCATGGCAAACTCTTGAAATTCCTTCAGAGCAACCTTGAACTTTTACTTAGCGTCCTCTTTGGCTACATGTAAGGAGACCGCTGATTTGGAAAGGAAACAAAGCACATTGTTTGGTATCCTTCCTTTCTGTTAGAAAATTTATTAAAAAGCTACAGGCAAAAGTCAAATGCATAAATTTGGCAAATTTATGAAAATCCAATACAGATACCAACTAAGGCTCCGTCCTATTGTTTCCACTATTCTATTATATGAAGCAAAATGTTGTAGAATCAGGGCGAAGTGGTTTTAGGTAAATTGCACTCAAATCACTGTCGGTAAAAAGTGCAATGATAGTCTAAGTTGAGTGCAAATAGAACATTGCATTAAAATTAAATTGATATTGAAGCAATATACTTAATGAAAACAATGCGAATATACAAAGTTAT